ACTACAGAGAAATTTCCTAACAGTGAGAAAAATTAACCAGTGGAACTGCTTGCTTCCAAAAATTGTGGGTGCTCCATCACTGGAGGCTTTTAGAGATCGGACAATCCCAAACAGGATCAGGGGAGTGACTTAGATGACCCCCAAAGTCCTTTTCAACTCTGTGATTCTGTTCATTTAACACACAATATAAAGAATTCTGGACAGTCTTTACCAAACTTAGTGAATACACCATATTTTGAATTGCTCTGAAAGAGACTCTAATGCTGGGAAAGGGGAAGGAAAGAGAAGAAAAAGATAACCATTAGTACGTAGATGGACTCAGTTACAGTGGAGATGAATGCACCATTGGGTGACTTGAAAGGACAGATTTGGCACATACAAAGGCCATGGTGAATATCTTACCTGTGTGGTCACAAAGTATCAAAAATGACTTGATGGCATATAATCAATACTGCTGTTGACATTAGTCAGGAAATGTAGTGATATGCAGTTAACTACCAGAAATTAAGTGGTAGATTCAAATTCCTTTCAGATCAGTGCTTGGTTTTTCTGCTGATTTCAAAGGGATTGGAGGAGCTTTAAGAGTCGGTTGATTAAAATCAGACAGAAGAAAACCATTTGTATTCTAAACTAACTCATATGTCATTTATAGAAGATCAACTCTTCTTGCCCAGAAATAGATAGAAATAAGGTATTTCTTTTCTACACAAAACTTCAAGTGGTGAATGAAGTCTTAGGGAGATTGGTAGGAAAAGACCAATACAAAACTGCTAAGCATTTTCCAGGACTGAAGAAAAACTATTTCATATCAAAGCATAAGATGGTTCCTGTTCTGTTTTATTAATAAGTACACTTCCTGGAAAACAGAATAAAATGTGCGATATTTTTTCTGGCTTCCCTTTACTCCAGAGACCAAACAGAAGTTGGCTTTGTTATTGAGAAAACAGTCATGAAATCCTTTTTGTTATTTAAAGAACAAAACAAAAAAAAATCAGAATAAAAATAAGATTATTAATGCAAATAACATTTCTTTGGACTATTAAATTTGGAGTTATACAACCTCCAAAGTCTTCCAAATTAACAATATTTAAGGGTTTTTCCCCCCAGTTCCATCCATTCTGACCTAGTGTATTTTTTGAAGTGAGCACTTCAAAATGCCATTCAAGATCTTGTTTCTGGTCCCCAACTCATTGCAAATCTTTGCTTTAAAGATATATAAATAATGTTTTATGGCAATTCTTCCCAAATTGTCTTTATTTTCTAGCCTAACTGTAGTCTTATATGGAGATGCAACCAACATAATAAAAATACTGAAATGTAACAATAATAGTCAATATAAATAAAATACAATTGTTCAACCAAGAATATCTTTTTGGTTGAATAATTGTGCCTTGAATGGACTTGGGGACCTCTGGACTTAGACAAAAACAGCATTTGCTATTATAGCTTTTCATATAGGTGAATGCCTTTAAGAGCATGATTTCAATTTCTTTATTATTCAAACTAATCATCAAATGTCTTCAATTTATAGTGTTATGATATTTGCTTATTATTCTGTGGTAATTTGTATTTAATCTGTGCACTGTGAATCCCTAAGGCAACAAATTGGTAGCAACATATCCATTTTGAAGACCTTAATACTATGCTGCTAAATGCTGTACAATGTATTTAAGTTTTTATTTTATTTATTTATTTTGTCAAACAATTATTAGATAACAGGTATAAGTATAAACATGGTTATAAATACATGAAATGGATACGAATAAGAAAAAAAAAGAAACAATAGGACAGGGACGGTAGGCACGTTTTAGTGTGCTTATGCACGCCCCCTACAGACCTCTTAGGAAAGGGGTGAGGTCAATAGTAGACAGTCTTATGTTGAAGATTTTGGGGTTTGGGGAAGAAAGAAATCACAGAGTCAGGTAGAGTATTCCAGACATTGACCACTCTGTTGCTGAAGTCGTATTTCCTGCAATCAAGTTTGGTGCGGTTTATCTTTAGTTTGTATCTATTTAGTGCTCTTGTATTGTTTTGGTTGAAGCTGAAGTATTCTTTGATAGGTAGGAGATTGCAATATATAATTTTATATACTATACTTAGATCAAACTGAAGGCGGTGTAGTTCTAGGTTGTCTAGGTCTAAAATTTCAAGTCTGGTGGCATAAGGTATTCTGCTATGAGTAGAGGAGTGAAGGATTCTTCTCATAAAATATTTCTGGACTTTCTCAATTGTATTAATATCAGATATGTAATACGGGTTCCAGACTGATGAGCTGTATTCAAATATTGGTCTAGCAAATGCTTTATATGTTCTAGTTAGTAGAGTGATATTACCAGAGAAAAAGCTACGCAGGATTAGGTTAACAACTCTTAATGCCTTTTTGGCTATGTAGTTACAGTGGGCTCTAGCACTTAGACCATTTGAGATGAGTACTCCAAGGTCCTTGACAAAGTTTTTGTCATCAACAATGTCTATTCAGCTTGTATTTTATTTTCTGATTTTTTTTGCCAATATGTAAGACAGAGCATTTATTTGCTGAGATTTGAAGTTGCCATTTGTTTGACCATTCTGACACATAGTCGAGGTCTTTTTGAAGGGTAGCAGCATTGTTAGTGGTGTTGAATAGCTTTACATCGTCAGCGAAAAGAACGCAGTTGCTCTTAATATAATCACAGAAGTCATTAATATAGAATATGAAGAGAGTTGGTCCTAGAACATTGCATTGGAGGACACTACTGTTGATAGGTACAGGATTTGATAGGACGCTCCCAATTTTGACCATTTGTTGCCTGTTTGACAGGAATGCTTCTATCCAGTTATGCAGGTATCCAGAGATACCATAAGACCTTAGTTTTAGGAGTAGTTTGTTGTGTACCACTGAATCAAAAGCTTCACAGAAGTCTATGTAAATTGTGTTAATTGTGTTAATAATTGATTCCATGACTTTACAGGTGACACAGCATAAAGAGATTGGTCTGTAATTTTCAACTAGGCTGGGGTCTCCCTTTTTGAAGATAGGAATGACTGTGGCTAGTGACCATAGATTTGGCAAGGAGCTGGTCCTGAAAGATTTTTCAAAGATTATGCTTAGAGGTTCAGCTATGGCAGTGGATAGCTTTTTTAAGAAGTAGGCACAAACTCCATCCGGTCCAATAGATAGAGATGGTTTTAGATTGCGTAGTGCTTTTTCAATATTGTCTTCTGTAAAATCGATATGTATTAGATCATTGTAGTTGTCTGTGGTTCGACTAGGAAATATTGGGCATGATCCATTGCTGTTTACAAATACTGAGCCAAATAATGTGTTAAAGAGATCGGCTTTAATGGTGTCATCGTTGCAGTCTTTACCATTTGGTTCTTTTAGGGGTGGGATGGACCTTGAGTCTTTTAGTTTGTTGTTTACAAAATTGTAGAAAGCGCGGGTGGAATTGGTGCATAGAAGGTTTTCCTCTTGTTTAGTATGATAATTGGTACATTCAGTCTTTATCTGATGGCATACATTTTTGCATCAGCTTTTAAAGTTGGCAACGTGACCAGATTTGTTTTTCCACTCAAACTGTTGCAGAAGATGAGATCGGGGTAGTTGTTGTCTGCTGACAAATAAACCGTAATCATGTTCAAAAATGAATGAACTATAAATGATCTTCTCTCTTGACACACACTTCCTACTTCATTTCAAAAGCCATTCTTTATCAGCAAGATTGCTCAGAGCCTGTCATGCTGAGATTATATTGTGAAATGAGGCTGGAAATCTTTTGTCATTTGTATTTAAGTTGCTTCTCTGATTCAGTCCACAGTGCTCTTCAGTTTGTACTCTGATGTTTTATTGAAACCAGTTTTGGTACTATTAAGATTTTAATGTATGACTTTTCCAGATATTTTTCATATAATAATTCTTCAGTGATTGTTGCCCAGAATTTATAAATTATTTCCAAAGATAGCACTTTTAAAAATAAAAATAAGATTCCATTCTTCTTTAACTATATACAGAGTTAACTTCTTGGGTTACAATGGCAATTGGGATAGGTATTTCTGTTGCTAAGTGATGTGATCATAAAACAAAACATCACACTTCCTGCTTTGCTTAGTAATGATAATCCCAGGTCCATGTGGGTTAAGTGGGAAAAAATTGGAATTTTAGGCAATCCGGTTGGTTCTGCAGGAAGCAGGGCAGTCCAGTGTTGCTCCTATTCTTATCAATTTTTCAACTGCCTGTGGTCTAATAACATCCCCTTCACAAGACCCCATCATCTGTCAAGGTAGGAAGATGCAGAGGTGCTGTGGGGAGGGTGCAATTGGAGCACAGGAAGGTGAAAAATTAATGAGAGTGGGAGCAACTTCCAACTTGCTTATAGCATCCTCATTTGTGGAAAGCAGGTAGGGAACATTAGAATTTTCTAAAGCAAGGGTGGGGAACTATGTCCCTTTTATGACTTGTGGATTTGACTCTCAGAATTCCTGAGCCAGCCATAAAAGGGCCATAGTTCCCCACCTCTGTTCTAATGTAACAGTAGCTCACTCAATGTTGTCATTGCAATTTGGGCACAGAAAACCTTGATCACAATTATGTGACTAAGAATGCTGTAATGGCCACAACTTCACAGGTTGTAATAAGTTCTCCTAGGGCCCTCATAAGTGTTATTATAACTTTGAACAGTCACTGACTGTATATGACTAGCTGTATTTTTATAGACTTATTCTTATTTTTAAATATAATGATTATAATATATTATTAACTATTATATTTATAATAGTTTTGCTCTTCTTTTAAAGTAAATTGATCAAAGTGCTGATAGCAGTTTAATTATATAATGACATTTTATGATCATTTATTATGTATGTACATGTGTATTGTTTTTTAATTTAACATTCATGGAACTAATAGCATGGGTGCATAGGTATGAAATAAATGATTCTATACTAGCCAGTATGCTATTGATTCTAAATGTTAAAAAGCAATAGTAGTGATATTTAGGCAAATATTTTTGGAACTATTTTCATTATTCATATTTCAGCTCCTGTACAGTTTGAGCTATACCTGTGGGCATCAAGAACCCTAAAGGTTCTGGCTTTACATATAATGAAGCGCTGATGCCCTTAGGCATTGACCTTTCACATTGCCCTAAGGATAATGATGGGGAATTGAGTGTTTTGGGAAAGCTTTTTTCTTCCTTCCTTCCAGCCAGCCGTTGCTTTTGAGTCGGAACAGGTATACTTGGTAATTTTTGCTTTATACTTGCTGCTGTTTTCCTTCTGATTTCTTTCTGATTCTTAATTGCCTGGAATAAAACAATTGAACACTCACTGTGATTTCTCGAGAATGTATCCATGGATTTGCCATAATCCATTTGCACATTATCCTAAAGCATGTATCCTATTCTTGCTATCTCAAACTTCTTTTATTTCATTTTCTCATCTCCAGAAATTTATCTTCTGCCCTTTGCACCCCACAGAAACTGCATTTTTCTCTCCTAGAAATCACCCATTTAATACATCCATCCACACTATTCAGCTAATTAATCAGCATTTTGTATAATGACTCTCCACTAGCAATATCAATAACACTTATATACTGCTTAACAGCCCTCTCTAAGTAGTTTACAGAGTCAGCATATTGCCCCCAACAATCTGGGTCCTCATTTTACGGACCTTGGAAGGATGGAAGGCTGAGTCAACCTTGAGCTTGGTGAGATTTGAAATGCCAAATTGCAGGCAGCAGGCAGTTAGCAGAAGTAACCTACAGTACTGCCCCTCTAACCATTGCGCCACTGTGGCTCGGTGTAGCCAATGTGGCATTGTGTAACCATAGTGACAGCAACACAGACTGCCTCGTTGTGCAACTTTTTACCACATAATAACAGTTAGCATCTTTTAAAAATTCAGCAACTACACAAGAAGGCTCAATATTGTTTGATACTTTTCAGGAGTTCAAATAACAAGCTACTCTGTGAACAAAATAAGTATAACGCAGAAGTTTTAATGAACTATGTTTGTTCCAGGCCAAAATAAATTCCAGCTATGTCCTGAAGAAATATGAAGCTCAGAATATATCACACAACATATCATGGAATATGAAAGTTATTATTTCAGTCCATTAAATTCTCAATCATCCAGGTTCATGGTTGTACCAAAGGTGTGTTTTTCAGAAGAAGAGTCTTGGATGAGAAGTGAAAGATTTCAAGGAAAAAAACCAAGAAAGTCCCATTGCCTTTTGAAAAAAACAGCTTTGGGACATAAGGTTGGAGATATCTCTAAGTTCAAAATCACATTTTACATGTTTATCAACCAAATAACAGTAAAAAAAAGTTTAGCTAAACATTTTTTGTATTTATTTAATCTATTCAGAAAGTCAGACTAAAATATTTTGGTAGACTACTAAACATTCTTAGGGAAAAATCACTTACCTCTTTCAGCCACAGTTTGCTTAATGTTTCTTCTACACGATCTATAATGGCACAAGGTGCACCTAAATGTTTTTTATGCCTCTGAAAATAAAATAATTAAGACAGAAAACAATTATACACTTCCGCAGTCAGAAAAGTATTTTTTTAACTAAATAGGAAGTCACAGCAAAATAATAATGTCAATAATAAGGGTTCGAAAGATAATAATGACAAATCCAATCCAAACATCAGGCTAACTGTGCAATGAACCATAACAAAGAAGCTTCTTATAGAAATAGTTTAAAAACAAAACAAAATAAACCTTA